GCAAGAAAGAAATAAAAGGTACCCAAATTGGAAAGGAAGAAGTGAAACTCTCACTGTTTGAGACAACATGATCCTATATATAGAAAACCCTAAAGAATCCACCAGAAAACTATTAGAAATAATCAGCAACTACAGCAAAGTTGCAGGGTACAAAATCAACTTACAAAAATAAGTTACATTTCTATATACTAATAATGAACTAGCAGAAAGAGAACTCGAGAATACAAGCCCATTTACAATCCCAACAAAAAGAATAAAATATCTAGGAATAAATTTAACAGAGGAGGTGAAAGACGTACACACTGAAATCTATAAGACATTAAGGAAAGAAATCGAAGATGACATAAAGAATTGGAAAAATATTCCAAGCTCATTGATTGGAAGAAGAAACATAGTTAAAATGGCCATACTACCTCAAGCAATCTGCAGATTCAATGCAATCTGAATCAGAATCCCAATGACATTCTTTGTGGAAACAGAACAGAGAATCCCAAAATTTATATGGAACAACAAAAGACCTCAAATAGCTAAAGCAATCCTGAGAGAAAAAAAAATAAAGCTGGAAGCATCACAATCCCTGACTTCAAAATATACTACAAAGCTATAGTAATCAAAACAGCATGTTACCAGCACAAAAACAGACACACAGATTGATGGAACAGAATTGAAAGCCCAAAAGTAAAACCACACATCTATGGACAGATAAATTTCAACAAAGGAACCAAGAACATACAATGGAGAAAGGTAAGTCTCTTCAATAAATGATGTTGAGAAAACTGGATAGCCTCGTGCAAAAGAATGAAAGTAGACCATCATCTTACACCATACACAAAAATTAACTCAAAATGGATTAAAGACTTGAATGTAAGACCTGAAACATAAAACCCCTAGAAGAAAATGTAGGCAACACTCTTTGACATTGGTCTTAGCAGAATCTTTTCCAGTACCACATCTCCCCAGGCATGGGAAACAAAAGAAAAAAATTAACAAGTGAGAATACATCAGACTAAAGAGCTTCTGCAAGGCAAAGGAAACCATGAACAAAATGAAAAGACCACCCACCAACTCAGAGAAAATAATTGCAAATCATATATCCAACAAGGGTTTACTTTCCAAAATATATAAAGAACTTAGGTAACTCAACAACAACAAAAAAACCAAAGCAACCAATCAAAAAATGGGCAGAGGTTGCAACTAGAAGGATGTGCAACTATGACATACAACTGTCTACTGGGGCTTTGGGGAGAAAAAGGGGAAAAAGGTGGAAGATTGGCAACAGATGATAGCTCAGGGACAATCTTCCTCAAAAAAAAAAAAAACTCTGTCATTAAAGAAAAAGCTGTCAATTAAAAAAAAAAAGAAAATGGGCAGAGGATATGAAAAGACATTTTTCTAAAGAAGATATACACATGGACAACAGGCATGTGAAAAGATGTTTAACATCACTAATTATTAGGGAAATGCAAATCAAAACTACAATGAGATATCACGTTACACATGTCAGAGCGGCTATAATTACCAAGATAAAAAATAACAAATGTTGGAGAGGATGTGGAGAAATGGGAACCCTTACACACTGCTGGTGGGAATGCAAACTGGTGCAGCCACTATGGAAAACAGTATGGAGATATCTCAAAAAATTAAAAATAGAAATAACATATGATCCAGCTATCCCACTACTTGGTGTTTATCCAAAGAACTTGAAATCAGCAATTCAGAGATTCATGCAGCCCTTTGTTCATTGCAGCATTATTCACAATAGCCAAGACACAGAAGCAACTCAACAATGTCTTATAGTTTTCAATGTACAGTTCCTTCACTTCCTGGTCAAATTTATTCCTAGGTATTTTATTCTTTTTGTTACAAATGTAAATGGGATTATATTTTTATTTCTCTTTCTGCTAGTTCACTGTTAGTGTATAGAAATGAAACTGATTTTTGTATGCTGTATTTTGTACCCTGCAACTTTACTATACTCATTATTATTTCTCATCATTTTCTTGCTGGATTCTTTAGGTTTTTCTATATATAAAATCATGTCATCCACAAATAATGACAGTTTTACTGCTTCCTTTCCAATGTGGATACCTTTTATTTCCTCTTGTTAGTTTCCCTGCCTAGGACTTCCAATACTATGTTGACTAAAAGTGGTAAGAGTGGGCATCTTCAGATGAAAGAAAAGTTTTGATTTTAGTTAATTATTCTGAAACTCAGCAAATTATTATTTTTGATTCACCACTCAATTATTATTTCCTACAAAGTATTATGCTTTATAGACAGTGTCTCATTAGATTCTAGATAATATTATTCTCCCCATTTTACAGGTATATACAGAAATTAAGAGAATTCAGGATCATATCCTTAAGAAAATGCAGAACTAGTGTTTAACATCCATAGCCAACACAGAGTAATACATCACATTTTAGGTTAGAGACTATTCTTTTAACTGAAGCTCAGAGATTTTGGGTAAGGAGAAAGAGAACCTGAGAAAGATCCCTAAGTGGAAGTGAGGGAGAGAGGAGTTGAAAAATAGGAGAGCTTGAGAACCATAACCTTGCTCCACATAGGTCTTACTGGAAGAATCCACTGTTCTCTATAAATCTTGCCCTCTGACCTTGACCCGGATTCCCCAGGAAAACAGAGCTCTTGTCAAAGGTTGAAATTACCTATTTCTTTTCCAAAGGAAATTTCCAGGTGGTCCCCGTTGCACTCCAAGATGAGTGCTTTTGGCCATGAAATTGGCTATCCACTGACAGAAGATGCCCACAACTGGGGATCCTCTTAAATGTGTTATTAGGGCAGAGGTGAAAGGAGAAAAGACAATTAGAGGGAGAAAACTCTCCAGGTACTTGTTCTATGGAGTTGTGGTTGTCATGGAGATTTTTCCCTGCTAATTTCATGATTTGCCATGCCCTTTCTGACTCAATTCCCCACTTCCCCATGGTCCTATGATGATCTCATGATTATAGCCTTTCTGTTAATGAATTTGGAGTTATTAGAGCTGGAGAGGACCTAGAGATCATTTAGTCCAATACCATCAATTTCCAGGTGAGAGTCTGAAGCCAGTGGAGCTAAGAGATTTGCCAAAGGTGACACAGCTGGCTGACAATACAGCTTGATAATAATAAATTAGATATGTGGACACTACCCTGTTTACAAAGTACTTTCATTTTAGATAGATACATTTTCTTAAATACCTGACCTGAATCAATCATCACAGCAGCCCTGTGAGGCAGACATGGCATGATTTCCTACACACAAGTGAGGAAATTAAGGCAATAAGAAATATAATAACACTAATTCACGAGAGGGCCATGACTTATCATGGGTACAACCATGGGCATTGGTATCAGCCAATCTGGGTTGAATTCCAGCTTTCCACTTGCTGGTTGTGTGACCTTGAGCAAATTAACCTCTCCAAGCTTCAATATGATCACCTATAAAATGAGGCTGACAGTAATAGCTACTTCATAGACTTGCTCTTCATAGAGATAATCAAAATCAGATAATGCTTATAAAGCGCTTATCAGAACAGGAAGTGCACAGCATGACTTCTATTAATAGTAGGTGTAATTTGTGTGTTCTGAATTGGAGTTCTTTTCAATATATCATGCTGCATTACTAATCCTTCATTAAAAATATTATGCTGAATTTCTAATCCTTCATAAAAAATATCTAATTAAGATCATTCCCACCACCATCATTTCATTTCTTTTTTTCTTTTTAAGTGGAGCTCATCTACTCTGCCATTACTAGGGATACAGAAATATTTTAGGAAGGTCTCACTCTTGGTTTGATCTACTTCAGCTAATATTACTTCTAGGGAGAAAAGGGTAGATGGGGCAGTGAGTTAAGCGTTTGATTTAACTCTTGCTATTAGAGTAGCAGTTACATATTCCCCCTGATAAAAACTGTAATAATCCTTTAAACTGAACAGATCCTTAAGATAGTTTTAAATATAATACCAAAAGTATAAAATCTAGGCCAAACTTAAGGCACTGGAATCCCTGGGAGGCCCAATTCTCTGGGACTTGGACTCTACCTCCCTAAACACCTCACGACAGCCTTCAATTCTGAGGTCTTGCATGGTCTCTGGGAAGGCACCATGGAGCATGCTCCAGGCCACCTGTGACCAGAATTTGATGACTTTGATTTCTTTCTAGCCTCTGAGAATCTCCCGCACTCTTGACCTTATAAGTGCCCCTTCTTTTTATCATTCTTTTCTCCCCTCTCTTTTTCACAATTCACTTCACAAGGAGGCTCAAGGAGTAAGATGGAGGGAACAAGGTCATTCAGGAATAAACCCAGGTAAATCTCTTTCTCCCTCTCCTGTCCTCTCCTCTCCTCTCTCTCTTTCCATCTCCTTCTCTCTGTGTGTCTCTCTCTCAAACTCACTCTCTCTCTCTGTTCAAGATTAATGTTATAAAGGGTTTCTTTAAAAAAAATTTTATATATTTAATTTTGTAATTATTTATTTTATTTTTATTGTAATATAAGTACATGCTTAACAATTAAAAATAAATAAAAGCAAAAAAGAAAAGAAAATTGGTGTGGCAAGAACACCTAGGTTCTTGTAATTTCTCTACATATAATATCTAACATAACTTCTATTCTCAAAATATATGTTTTTATCTGTCTGGGTCTAATGGAAACAGGCCTTTTAAACTGAGCTCAGTGGTGGTGAAACTCCTTCAGGCAGATCACTTGGTGGTGGCAACTAACCATAATGGCACCAGGAATCAAGGAGCCAGGTTTTCACTTCTTCTCTCTATCTAATTACTCTTGTAATTAGAGTGACAAAATGTCACTTCCATAGTCTTACCTCTGTCTTCCATGTAAGGGAAATAATACCTGCACTAATATTGCTATTACTGAGGTAAACGTGTTACCCTCTTTATCACCCTCTTGAGGGCCTCTTTCATCTCCTTGTTCCTCAGACTGTAGATAAGAGGGTTTAACATGGGGATAAAGATAACATAGAACACTGACAGCACCTTGTCCTACTTCTTGGAGTGGCTAGAGCTAATATGCAGGTACACAGAGAGGCCTGTGCCATACAAGATTGTCACAACTCCCAGGTGGGAGGCACAGGCATTGAAGGCCTTGGAACTACATTTGATGGAGGATAGTTTCGGGATGGAAGCTGCAATGAAACCATAAAATAAGAGGATAACAAGGAAAGAACCAAACCCAACAAAAATAGCTCCCGGAAAAAGAATCATTGGCTGATGAAGGGATTGGAGTAAGACAAGGAAATGAAATGGGTTCTGTCACAGAAGGTATGCTGAATGGTACTTGGCCCACAGCAGTAGAGATGAAAGCAAGGGACTGTCTGAGCTAAGCTGCTAAGGAAACCACTCCCACAGGCCCCAGCAACCATCTTCTGACAGACGCCAATCTCCATGACGGCTGAGTACTGCAGAGGCCTACCAACAGCGACATATCTGTCATAGGCCACGGCAGCCCAGAGGCAGCACTCAGCCTGAAACATCCAGGACCCAAGAAAGTACTGGGTGGCACAAGCAATGAAGGAAATCATTTTTTCATCTTTTAAGAAGTCTGAAAGCAGCTTTGGGCTGGTGGGAGAAGAATAGCAGATGTCTACAAATGACAGGAAACTGAGAAAAAAGTACATAGGTGTGTGCAGGTGGGAGTCCATCCTGATTAGGATGATGAGACCCAGGTTCCAAATTAGGGCCATAAGGTAGATTCCTGGGAAAATTGGGAAGAAAATAAGCTGCAACTCTTTTTCATCTGAGTGTCCTAGGGGAACAAATTTGGCCATGGAGGTGTGATTTCTTTCTGCTTCCGTGGACCTGCTTGGTACCATTTGCTGAGAAAAAGATGAGAAGGAAATCGCTCCATTCTCAAAAAATGCAAGGAAGTACTCTTCATGTTTTTTGCACTCATGCCGATGACTAAGTATACAGCATTGAATCATCAATGTTGACTTAATATGTGTCTTCTATGTATAATCATCAACCTTAACTGAAAAATTGTCTTGGATAAATATTGTCACTATCTCTTTGGGGGAAAGACAGTAAATAGGCATCATTATACATTATCCCCTACAAGGTCTTCACTTCATGTTTTTCCATTCCAGATTTTACAAATATATGAGAATTGGAAATAGACCAAATTCAGGTAAACTGTCATCTCTCTATATGCGGAAACAGAATGATTCTGATCAGCCTTGGCTCTGATATTTAGTCAATGCTTAGAGAAGCCTCTGAATCATGCTGGGCCTCCTTTTAAAATGAGAATGTTAGATTAGCTTCTCTTTAAAGTCTCCTTAGGGGGCTGGCCCGGTGGCGCAAGCGGTTAAGTGCGCACGCTCTAATGCAGTGGCCCTGAGTTCGCTGATTCAGATTCCGGGCGTGCACCGATGTACCACTTGGCAAGCCATGCTGTGGCGGCGTCCCATATAAAGTGGAGGAAGATGGGCATGGATGTTAGCCCAGGGCCAATCTTCATCAGCAAAAAAAAAAAAAAAAAAAGAGGAGGATTGGCAGATGTTATCACAGGGCTGATCTTCCCCACAAAAAATAAAAATAAAAAAATAAAGTCTCCTTAGGAACTAACAATCAATTAATCTATTATCAGGGAATGTGGATAATTCTCTAGCTGTCTTTCTGTTTATATTAAGCCTGGAGACACAAAAGAATAATATAATAGTATAGTGGGAAGAGTCACACACCAAGAAGCAGCTTGGAAAGGGATGTGACTTAAGCAACTTAATGACTCTAGGAAGGCTCCTGAGAAGCTAGATAAGACAAGGTTGAAAGAGCCATTATGGTAGCTTCCTTGCAGGTGCTGTTTTTTCTTTTCTCAAATCAGAAGTACTTATGAGTTAATTATCTTGGAGAGTGATTCTTGATCTTCTTTGGGTCAGTGATCCTTTTGAAAATCTGTTGGAAACCCTGGACCCTTTACCCATCAAATTGTAACCACTTATCACCTTTGCATATGGTTTTATTGGATTCTCAATCACCCTTGAGTCTATTAATGGTACCCAGGTTAAATACTTCTACAAAGTAGTGACTTGAACTCATGTAAGGGTTTGGATGCTTAGGCAATGGACACAGGGATTAGAAGACTGAGGCAGGATTTCTGGAAATTTTTTCTCTTTTTCTCATTGGAGCCAGTCCAGGAAAGGAAAGCATTCAGTCTTCAGGCCAAACAGTAAACAACCAAAAGAATATTTTTGCATCAGGCGCTGTATGCCCTCTTCATGGTCTATAGCTGTCATTCTCTCCAGATGGTCATTAGAGCATCTCCCAACACAAACACATTTTTATTCAGATGAACTCAAACTAGAAAGAAAAACCTGAGAAGACTTGAAAGGTAGAAAATAGTCATCAAGTGTAGGTTGGGAGTTCTGTAAGTGGGTAAAAGTAGAAGTTGGAGATTTCCTGGAGAAAGACTGTGACATTAAAGGAATAAACTATGTCTATTAACTATAAATATTTTTCAGCATTAGCCATCCAGAATGTCTTTCTTCTCCCCAACCATTTCCCAGAGTCCTAGTTCCATAAATGAATAAAAAGAGAAAATCCCCTTAGAAGCATAAGGCTATATCCTGAGAAGTAAGGTAGAAGTGTTCATTTCCCCAAAACATATCAGTCATTGATTCACGCTGCACTGTTTTGAGAAGAATTCTGAAGGAATGAAGTGATTAATTGCCAAAGAAATCAAGATATTTTCCATCAATATGGAAGGGGAAATTGTCACAGACAGACTACGTATTTACCATTCCACACTTAGATGTGGTTCTGTCCACAGTAAGACCAAATGGAGGAAGATTCTTTTTAAAAGAGAGCACAAAATTGCATTCTTCATCATCATCTTCATCATCATAACTAACAATCATGAAAGCAAAATGTTTTATTGTGCAGCTACAGTATATACTGTTTTCCTCCTTGTACTCATGAAGATATTCACAGCTTCCTCTAATGTCCATTTATTCCATATGATATCCTTAAGCCTGATATGTTTTCTACTAAACACAAACAGTATTCTGAAAATTGCCTCTATATTTCTATTATATGTCTCTGGAACCCCAATTAGATGTGTGTTGAATCTTCTTGCTCTATCCTCCACATCACTGAAACATCATTTTTTTGTATTTCTTTACTATGTTCTATTTAATTTTTCCAGATGTCCCTTCAAATAAATTCATTCTATCATAAGTTGTGCTAATTGGCTGTATAAGCATCCATTGAGTTTAAAATTTCAAAATAAAATTTTTGTTTTCTATTCTAATGTTCCCATTTAGTTATATGCCCAAAGGTCAGTTTTGATAGTCTTTTTTCTCTCATTATACTTTCAATAGTATCCTTATTTAAACATATTTATATAAATTATTTAATAATTTAAATACGTAGTTTTGCAAATCTAATTCTCTAAATTGCTGATTCTTGCTCTAGGTGACCTGTTTATTTGTGTTTTAGTGATTTTTTATCTTAAGTTTATGTTCTTTTAAAACTTATCTGTGTGAATCACTGACGCTTGATTTTAAAAAGTGTTCCTTTAGAAATAATTTCTATTTCTTCCATCAGATGCTTTGGGGGCCATATTAACCAAATATCCCTTTAAACAAAAATTTTACTTGGGGTTTTGGGGGGTAACAATAGTTTCCATGTATATAACAGTAGAAGTATGTGATTAAAAATCATCAGGGGAAATTTCTTATTTTTCCTCTACTTAACCTAAAGCTGAAAGAGGAGTGCGTATCACTTTCTCATTTTGTGGCGCAGGTTTTTTCTAGTTTGCCTTTTGAGAATGTCATCCTTTGCACGTCCTTGTTTTTAGTGGCCTGGGGGGGATTTCTTCTAGTCCAATCTCACATACAGTCCTTTTCCCCTACCTCTCATATATATGCTTATTAAAACTCAGGACTTAGGCTACTAGAAATCAGTAAAACCCTCCTGGGAAAATGTTGGCTTCCACCTACTACCCTCTAAGGTTTGGGCTTTTTCTTGTCATTTCTGTACCTTGAGAAATTCATTTGACTTCTCTTTGTCTCAGCCATGAAAAGAACTGTTTTAGATTTTATATAGAATTATTGGTTTCTCTAAACATATAGCTCACCATATTACCAGAAACACCTTTACAAATAATATTTCTATGAAAGTCCTGATGACTTCAGCTTATCACTGGCCAATTTTTCCTAAAACCCCCAGCTACTTGATTTGCTTTTTTTCTATTGCTTCTAATATAATGGAATTTGTCCCTGAAACAAGGCATCGTATTAGATAGCTAATATTTATTGAGTGTGTACTATGTTCCAGGTGCTCTTCTAAATAATTTTGTGTTTTATCTCATTTTACTTTAGCCAACAGCGTTGTGAGAGATGCACTCATTATTTCCATTTTGTTTTGTTTTGTTTATAACTGCTTTTAATTCATAGATTTCTTATCAGCTTGATCAAATGAATATTATCTATTTGTTTTAGGCATCTGAATTTTAAGTGTCTGAAATGAGTATCACACACAAAACTGAAATTCAATAGTTTGATTGAAATCTGGTACACAAAGATTTAATGAAAAGATTTTGGTGAAACTAAAACTAAACTAAGTCAAACTGAAACCAATCAAAAACTTTAAAAAAGAATACAGGGGCTGGCTCTGTAGGATAGTGGTTAAGTTCTGTGTGCTCCTCTTCAAAAGCCCAGGTACACAGGTTCACATCGTGGGCATGGAACTACACCACTCACCAAGCCATGCTGTGGCACTGACCCACATACAAAATAAGGGAAGATTGGCACAGATGTTAGATCAGGGTCCATCTTCCTCAAGCAAAAAGAGGAGAATTGGCAACAAGTGTTAGCTCAGGGCCGATCATCCTCAAGGTAAATAAATAAATAAATAAATAAATAAATAAATAAATAAATAAATAAATAAAAAAGAATACAGAAAGCTATTAACCCTTCCCATGCAACACAATGTCTATGTTTTATAAATAATTTTTATTGACATATAGTTGACATATAATATTATGTAAATTTAAGCTGTAGTATGGGTTGATTTGAAACATTTATATGTTGCAATTTTTAACCACTAAAGCATTAGCTAACACCTCTATCACATCACACAATTATCATTTCTTTTTTGTGGTGACAATAATTAAGATCTCATCTCTTAACAACTTTGAAGTTTATAATACAGCATTGCTGACGATACTCACTCTACTGTACATTAGGTCTCCAGGACTTATTTGTCTACTACTTGTAAGTTTGTGCTCTTAAGTAGCATCTCCCCAGTTCCTCCACCACCAATTATTTTTGTGTGTGGGGGGAAGATTAGCTCTGAGCTAATATCTGTTGCCAATTCTCCTCTTTTTGATGAGGAAGATTGGCCCTGGGCTAACATCTGTGCCCATCTTCCTCTACTTTATATGGGACACTGCCACAGCATAGCTTGATAAGCAGTGCATAGGTCTGTGCCTGGGATCCAAACCCGTGAACCCCAGGTTGCTGAAGCAGAGTGCATGAACTTAACTACTACACCATCGGGATGGCCCCTACTCTCAATGTTTTTGAGTTTATATTTTCAGATTCCACAGGTAAGTAATATCATACTGTACATGTTTTTCTCTTTGTGACTCATATCACTTATCATAATGCCCTCAAGGTCCATCCACATTCTTGCAAATGGTAGGATTTCTTTCTTTTTTATGGCTGAATATTATTCCATTGTGCATAGGCATACCACATTTGTTTTCAGTTGTTTGGACATTTTAACAGTATTTAACCTGCCAATCTGTGAGCATGAAATATCTTTCCATTTATTTGTGTCTTCAGTTTCTTTATCAATGTCTTACAGTTTTCAG